TTTGTAGAACAGTTGCTCAGACCTTTCAGGGAAGCTTTTATTGTGCAGAGTGTGTGTCTCCCGGGGAAATAATTGTTTGTGTAAATTGGCTCCAAAAGTTGTAACAATATCAGTGGTCTGAGCAGTGGGCTTTTGCAGATCTTAAGTAGCAGTGGGGCCTGGTGGGCTCTGTGGATTATTTCCTGGAGATTATTTCCTGGAGTCAGTCACCGAATGCCTCTCGTCCCTTGCCATTACTGCTTACTGTTTTAGTTTACTGTTTTATCTTCATTGTTTTTGTTTTTATCAGCCTCCTGTAAACTGTCTTGGAAATCTAGTCTGTTATCTATTGGACTGCTATTTTTAGCAGATATATTCCTTTTATCTCCATTTTTAAAAAAGAAAGAAAGAAAAGGAAACCTTTATAAAGCAATCTGTATCCCAATGGGTTAAATTCAAAGGTTTATCATTCCCTGTCAGATTTTAGTATTTAAAAAACAAAATATGTGACAATTGAGTATTTTATTCTTTAAAAAATCCACCTTGAGGGGCAATTCCATTGTGACTATGAAGACTGAGGAAGTACTTCATGTTCCAAAAGACATGTGAGCTAGTTGAACTTAGTTCCCATTGAAATAAATGGGACAGTTACTCATGAGTTTGTTTAATGTATTTAAAATTCTGCCTTTCTCCCAAGCTGGGATCCAAGTCAACTTGCAACATTTTATAAACATCACTATAAAATATGAAGCAATAAGAACGAACTGTTAGAAACAATTCCCACCTATTTCAGTGGCAACTATTTTCATCTAGCATAGTATTGATCGAAGCCGATGACCCCATGTCTCTTCTTGTGCTCTCGCATGGTATCAAAGAAAAGAGAAGCTGTGGTATCATTGCACCCCCAGTTTCCTCAGTTGACAAAGGGTATTCTTTTGTCATCATCCTGACCTCAGAGGGGAGAGGAACAGTGAAATATACTCGGAGTCGAGAGTGGATTTCATGCTCTTTATTCAGCTCATAGTGGTGAGGAGGAATGGAAGTTCCCCCACAATATCTGCTTTATATACATTGTTTACACAATGGGCTGCACATGATTGGCTAATTCCGGGATTCTCCTGTAGGCCAATCAGGTTGTGGATTCACTTTCACCTGGAGCTGGATTGGGTGGCTCCTGCTGACCAATCATACTGCTGCATTGTTCTAGGACCAATCAGACTGCTGCATTTTGGATCCTATTGTTCTAGGACCAATCAGACTGCTGCATTTTGGATCCTATTCAACTCAGTACATAACAAGCAGTAACAACAACCCTGTGTTTTATCTCTGCATAGCTGAAGAAGCCAACAGCTCTCACATCCCCCAGGCCAGGTGGTTGACTCATTAATAGTCACTATTCCTTGAACAAAGGGAGGTAGAGCATGGGAGGGGTGGCCTGGAGACAAAGGCTCAAGAAGCCTCAGTTCACCTCTACCCTCTGCTGGAGCCACAAGGCGTTTTCATGGAGCTGTCTGTGGTGCTGCAACCAACAGGCTGCCTTGCTTGCAACGTCAGGTCTAGGACAGAACATCCTTGAACTGGGATGGAAACAGCAGACTGAGGAAAAAATAATACAATTCTCCCTCTCTTTATAATATTAGAAATTGGGATTATCCAGTGATGTTGATTGGCAGGAAATTCAGAACAGACAAAAAAAGTACTATTTCATATGATCCATGATTATTTAGATGATAGCATTGAGAGAGGACTAGACATAATCAAGTAGGCTGTCACTCTTGATATCTACACCCTGATGGTATTTCCCCACCCCCAACCTGTTCAGAGGCAGTGTACTTCCAAATATCAGCTGTTAGGGAGCCACAGCAGCAGAGGAAAGACTGTTGACTTCAAGTTCTGCTTGTGTTTCCTCAAGACATCTTATTAGTCACTGGTGGGAAGCAGAATATTGGACCAGATGGACCATTGATCTAATTCAGGAGGGATCTTAGGGAGCAGGGGATGGGAAAATGGGGTCCCAGCAATGTCATTCTCTTTCATTTCATGTTCCTGTTCAGCCAGTGCCTGGCCACTAACATGTACTTGTGTCCCTAAAGGCAGGTAGGAAATTTCAAAGAGGCAGGGAGGCTGAATTGCACACATCAATCTGATAGAACCAAACCAAATCTATGACTACTGATTTCCGGTGCTTCCGAATTTCCTTCCAGTACTTTGAGCACGACTTTTATGATGCCTCACTTTTTCTTTTTGTATTTCCAGGTAATTTTTCCTCATTAGATGTTTACTTTCAATTTGGTGGGAAATATGAGAAAAGCCCTTAGGTTTCAGATGGCCATAAGTGCTTGCAGCTGTTTACATTGTAAAACTCATCAACCACAATTTAGGTACATCTCCAAAGCCATTAACATGAGCAGAAAACAATAAGGAAATCAGCCCACTAATTGAAATGGGGAAAAGGGCAACTTAGAGATGAAACTCAGCAATGAAAAAATGTTTGTTTATCCAACTTTTATCCCTCGGGTGGGCACTTGTTTTAGTGTTGTACAAAATCTATCTCTATAAGGGCCAGCCATTAGACTGAAGACATTGCTGTTATATGTAGATGTAAGGTAAAGGTAAAGGGACCCCTGACCATTAGGTCCAGTCGTGACCGACTCTAGGGTTGCGGCTCATCTCACTCTATAGGCCGAGGGAGCCGGCGTACAGGTTCCGGGTCATGTGGCCAGCATGACTAAGCCGCTTCTGGCGAACCAGAGCAGCGCACAGAAACGCCGTTTACCTTCCCGCCGGAGTGGTACCTATTTATCCATTTGCACTTTGACATGCTTTCGAACTGCTAGGTTGGCAGGAGCTGGGACAGGACAACGGGAGCACATCCCGTCGCGGGGATTCGAACCACTAACCTTCTGATCAGCAAGACCTAGGCTCTGTGGTTTAACCCACAGCGCCACCCACGTCCCACATATGTAGATGTAGGGATGGTCATTTTCGAAAGGAGGTGGCCTTTCAAACCAACTGAAGGGCATCTCTGGAAGCGGGAGACATCTAACAAACCCCTTTGTAACTAATTTTGGGCTGGTTCAACATAATACTAAACCAAAGTTTAGCATTACGAGAATGAGCCTTGGTGAGCCTGTGCTTCATACACACCTGCCCACCTCTGGCCATTACCAGCCCTACCATTAGACAGAGTGAAGCATCCACCTTGGACAGCTAATTGTGGATGTCATGAAAAGGCAACAAATTGTCTTTTCAGCTGGGATCCTTCATCCAAGCCAGTTATCACTGTTCAAGGACACATCCCAGCCAGGCAAAGGCATTCATGGAGGACATGGAGCTTGGTCGGTGAGGGGTGTGGCTTCAGAAGTGTCCCAAGGCCAAGACAGAGAGCACTGGAAAGTTGCATTCAACTTGTGAGCTAGAGGCTGCCTACCTCTGATGTACACCAAAGGTTAGGGGGCATGAATGAACTGGTCAAAGTATTGCCAATTACATGTTGACACACACACGAATGGAAACAAAAGTTGAGAAATCCTAATCTATCAGTTCCGCTTTGGAAAGTAATAGCAGTTAAATCTGAAACCCCAATATCTAGGGATAAATAGTTAAACTATTAAACTATAGAACTCACTCCCACAGGACTATGCTACCACTCAGTGGATTTGTAACTGGCTGACTGACCGAACCCAAAGGGTGCTCATCAATGGTTCCTCTTCATCCTGGAGAAGAGTGACTAGTGGGGTGCCACAGGGTTCTGTCTTGGGCCCGGTCTTATTCAACATCTTTATCAACGACTTGGATGATGGACTCAAGGGCATCCTGATCAAATTTGCAGATGACACCAAACTGGGAGGGGTGGCTAACACCCCAGAGGACAGGATCACACTTCAAAACGACCTTGACAGATTAGAGAACTGGGCCAAAACAAACAAGATGAACTTTAATGGGGAGAAATGTAAAGTATTGCACTTGGGCAAAAAAATTGAGAGGCACAAATACAAGATGGGTGACACCTGGCTTGAGAGCAGTACATGTGAAAAGGATCTAGGAGTCTTGGTTGACCACAAACTTGACATGAGCCAACAGTGTGACACGGCAGCTAAAAAAGCCAATGCAATTCTGGGCTGCATCAATAGGAGTATAGCATCTAGATCAAAGGAAGTAATAGTGCCACTGTATTCTGCTCTGGTCAGACCTCACCTGGGGTACTGTGTCCAGTTCTGGGCACCACAGTTCAAGAAGGACACTGACAAACTGGAACGTGTCCAGAGGAGGGCAACCAAAATGGTCAAAGGCCTGGAAACGATGCCTTATGAGGAACGGCTAAGGGAGCTGGGCATGTTTAGCCTGGAGAAGAGGAGGTTAAGGGGTGATATGATAGCCGTGTTCAAATATATAAAAGGAAGTCATATAGAGGAGGGAGAAAGGTTGTTTTCTGCTGCTCCAGAGAAGCGGACACGGAGCAATGGATCCAAACTACAAGAAAGAAGATTCCACCTAAACATTAGGAAGAACTTCCTGACAGTAAGAGCTGTTTGACAGTGGAATTTGCTGCCAAGGAGTGTGGTGGAGTCTCCTTCTTTGGAGGTCTTTAAGCAGAGGCTTGACAACCATATGTCAGGAGTGCTCTGATGGTGTTTCCTGCTCGGCAGGGGGTTGGACTCGATGGCCCTTGTGGTCTCTTCCAACTCTATGATTCTATGATTCTATGAGACAATAATTGCCACCAACCTAGATGGCTTTAGAAGAGGATCAGAGTCCCTGGTGGACAAACTAAGGCCCGGGGGCCGGATCCGGCCCAATCGCCTTCTAAATCTGGCCCATGAACAGTCCGGGAATCAGCGTGTTTTTACGTGAGTAGAATGTGTCCCTTTATTTAAAATGCATCTCTAGGAATTTGTTCATCCCCCCTCCCCCCCCCAGAATATAGTCCAGCCCCACACAAGGTCTGAGGGACAGTGGACTGGCCCCCTGCTGAAAAGGTTTGCTGACCCCTGGATTAGACAAATTCACAGAGGAAAGACTCCCTAGGTGGCACAATGGGTCTGTGTGTCTGGCTGCTAACCAGAAGGCTGGTGGTTCGAGCCCACCCAGGGATGGTTGTGGACAGAATTCCTGCATAGCAAGGGGCTGGACTAGATGACCCTTGGGATCCCTTCCAGCTCTACAATTCTATGATTCTATGAAAAATGTGAAATACAGGCCCGGAAGCAGCCGGCTCCTCTGGCTATTTAGAGATGAGACAAAAGTTTTTTCTCCCCTCTATGGAGAGGCACAAGACTAACATGAATTGACAAGTGGAAGTGCGAGAGATCAGCTGGTGTCTTACCACAGGAAGCTCTTGTTTTATGAATGAACAGCAGCCAGGCAAGCACTGGTGCAAAGCAGAAAATAATTTTTTCTGACTTGGAGCAGGGAGAAGTAAAAGAGATGCTGTTAGCCTTTGTGTGTGTGTTCAAACAATGATTTATTCTGTATTTGGAAACTAATTAAGAAGGTTGGAGAAGTTCAGTACATGGGGCAATGACACTGGCAGGTCTCGGCTGTTGATTAGTCTCAGAATAATAGGAAGTATAACCTGCTGGGAATTGAGAGAGCTTGGAGTGGTGAACAAACCGAGGCCTACTTTTTACAGTGAACCATTTCAGGTAGCAGGTAGGGGAAAGGCTCTTTTTATGTTCTTATGGGATGTAGTTCAAAGAACATCTAGAGGGCACCAGGTTTGGCAAGTCTGGGATAAATTTGTTTTCCAACAGTGAGCCAGCAAGATGGTGGGGTGTGTGTTTATGATAGGGTTTTTTGTCTGTTTGTCCTAGACAGACCATATTCTGGATAAAAGGTTGAGGCAAGGGTGGTGGCAACTCATGTGTGGGCTTTCTCCATTGTGGCCCCCTAGAGGTGGAACTTCCTATGTCAAGTGGCTGGAGGCCACCTTCCTCTTCATTTGGATCCAACCAGCAGTTTAAAACATTTCCTTTTTAAGCCTTGGATTATGTTGCTGCTTAAAGCATCACTGGCGAATGCTGCTCTGTGTTCTTACGTTTCACTTCCCATTTTGGTGTGATAATTTGAGCCGGATCAGTCTTGCTTTGATGCTTGTATATTTTATATTTGTAAGCCACTTGGACCAACTCCTTCGTAGGGGTGGAGTTGGAGAGGTATGCATTTTAAGGTAAATAAGTAATGAAATGATAAGTGAGGCAGCAGATTGTAGAAGCAGCCAGTTTTAAATGCACAGGAGGATAGCTTGCTTCATCCCTGCTGAGGAGCATGGAATGGAATGTGCCTTCGCAGAACAAAAGGCACTACAAAACCAAAGTGCTACAAAGGCAGAGTCCAGCTTTAGCTGTATCTGCTTGCAATTCCCCCACTGGAAGAGAAGTGCATGGATGTATTGACAGAACAAACATGAACACATGGATCTGCCTTATAACAAAGTTTTAGCCCTCCCTAGAGATGGCACCTGGGACCTTCTACCACTGAGCTACCACCTTTCCCCAAAGATTCAGACTATTGGTCTACCTTGTTTATGGTTACATGTAAGTTCTCCTCATCTGTGTTCATGTGCATAAATAAATAAATAAATTAAATGACAGTGATGCAATATGCTCTCCTCTCACCATGCCATTGGCTGGTCTTTCCACCCATTTTTTTCAGTGTCCCTCCTTCTCTCCTTGCTGTCTCCTTCTAGTGCACGCTGGAAACCTCTGGAGCTCCACCATGTTTGCATCCATCCCCACCACTGCAATAGATCAGGAAAAAATGGCCCCATTAAAGCATTCTTGACCCTCATTGTCTTCTGTTCTCCCCACCCCTCTCATACTTCCTTCATTTGAGTTGCTTGCATCAGTTGGTGAGAAATTAATTGGCCTTTGCCAGACAGCTAATTACCATTAGGCTACATTTGATTTTTTTCCTAAAGTGCTGTTCAGCTAATTGCTGTGATCACTTAGCTTGTATTCTTCTGATCCTTATGACAGTGATGTATTTACTTGTTTGGGATTCTACCCCAACTTGCCCCAAAGGTTCAAGGCCAGTTGCAATGCAAAGCAGTAGATTAGAAACTCTATAGGACAGTCCATAAATGGCTAAATGCAGCCCTGTGCTGCCTGTTGAACTTCTAGTGCATCCAGTTGTTACTGTGCAGGCATGGATAACAATACACATAGGTGTATTGAACAGGGTTATATGCAGCTCCCTGGCAGAGCTTTTAACACAGGTCTGTAGCACGAGGTTTCATAGTCAAGGGGGCGAGAGTGATGGGAGACCCTGGAAGATGTGCTGTCCTTGAGGGAACAGTTCACAGTTGCTTCCCTGTGCCTGGATAAAAATCCTCTCCCAAGGAATTAATTTATTCATTTAAAATATTTATAAATTGCTTCATATCAAAAGATCCCTAAGCAGTGTACAAAAAAACAATAAAAACCAACCATATCTAATGGAAGAACATAATGATCCCCAAGAATCTATGGGAAGCTGTTTTCAGGCACTAGGCCCATTGGCAGACCAACTCTGCGTTACAAAGATGTCTGCAATTGAGACACAAAGGCTGGCAGCATCAACCCCACCTTGTGGGGATCCCTTGCAGATGACCACAGTGCCTGGAGACAACCAATCAGGTTGTGTATCCACAGTAGTGATACGCTACTCCAGAGGAGGACTGACTGCTGGGAGGAGTGCAGAAAGAAGAAACGCCATGGTGCATCTGCAGCAGCACAACTGGATGCCTTCATCTGCTTCATCTGCAACAAAACATGTCTCTCCCATATCAGTCTCTACAGCCACAGCAGGCACTTGAGCTCATCTCCAAAGGCACACTCTTCAATGGTCTCCTGAAACAGATGGATGTCAACAACAACTTTATGATAATAGTACCACTCTGTTCTGCCTTAGTCACACCCCAACTGAAACACTGTGTCCAGTTCTGGGCACCACAGTAAATGAAAAATATTGACAAGCTGGACCATGCGCAGGTGAGGGTGATCATGATGATAAATGGTCTGGAAACAAAGCCTTCTGAGGAACAGCTGAGGGAGCTGGGTAAGTTTAGCCTGGAGAAGATGGAGAAGCTGTACGATAGCCATCTTCAAATATCTGAAGAGCTGTCAACTGGAAGATGGAGCAAGCTTCTTTTTTGCTGCTCCAGAGGGTAGGACCCAAACCAAAGGATTAAAATTACAAGACAGGAGATTTCTACTAAATATCGGAAAGTACTTTCTGACTTTAAGACCTGCTTGAGAGTGGAACAGACTCCTTTAGAATGTGGTGGACTCTCCTTTGTTGGAGGTCTTTCGACTAAGGTTGGGTGGCCATCTGTCAGGTATTCTTTAGCTACGATTCCTGTGCTGCAGGGGGTTGGACTAGAGCAGGGGTTGGCAACCCGCGGCTCCGGAGCCGCATGTGGCTCTTTTACACCTTTGCCGCGGCTCCGGGGCGGATACTAGAGCTACCCATGTACCCCGAGCAGCCAAAACAAAATGCCACAAAATGAGTGAATGATTTCCCCCCCAAAAAATTTACACAACAAACATAAAAAGAATAAATTGATCTTACATTACATATACATTACATTCTCGCTGCAAGAAGCCACATTACAGGGAAACAAGCAGGGGCAGAGGCGAGGGAGCGTCCCTCAATTTCCTGCTGGCGTGAGAAGCGTAGAAAGTACCCGGCCATCCCGTGAAGTCTTTTGCGGCGGTTGCCAGAAAATGCCTGTGAAAACGCAGCCTGCCGGGACTCGGTCCCTGAGCGCCATGTCGGCCAGACAGGGCTTTTTGCGCCCGCTTACAAAGCTGCCACATGTCGGACGCTCCCTCGCCCGCTTTGACAGGCGCCTTCAGCCAGCTCGAACCCGCCCCCCCAGACCCGCCTCCTCCAATCGGCCCCTTGGGCGGCTCGCGCGGCGGGCGATTGGCCGAGCGGGAACCGGCCGTGGGCAGCTTGCATATTAATACTATTATTACTATTGCCACCATCATTAACAGCATCATTGTCATTTTTCTTAATTAAATATAATCTCAGGGGACCTCAGCCCTTGCCACTTAATGCTCGGTTTAACCTCCACTCGCTTCTTAGGTTAAAATCTTATTTTATTTTTTTAATGGTAGCACCTTATCCCTTTTGGTTTCTCCATTGCATTTCCTTCCCCTGACAGACAAAATCCTCTCCCTCAGAGGCATCCGCGTATCCCCCTCACACCCCCACCCCCCAGCTCCATTACTACTACTACCTCTGTGAATTTCTTTAAGACCGTCCAACTTGTCGCCTGTGTGAGGGAGTTCCATGGTTCAATTGTGCGCTGGGTGAAAAAGTCCTCTCTTTCCTCTGCCCTGAATCTTTGAACATTCGGCTTCTTGGGATGTCCACAAGTTCCGGTGGTCCACAAGAGAGGGGAAAAAGCTTTTCTCTACCCTCTTTCTCCATTCCATGCATAATTTGCCAACTTCCTATCATGTCGCCTCTTCTCTAAACTAAGATTACCAGTTTGTTTTTTCAATGAATCCGGGGACACTTTTCAACTTCCTATTAAATAGATTTTGCCAGGGGACTGATTTGTAAATCTGGGGACTGTCGCCGGGAAACGGGGACGTCTGGTAACCTTCCTCAAAACTAAAAAGTCCCAAATGCTGCAACCTTTCTTCGCAGGGGAGTCCCCGGGATTCCAGTGCTATTTTTCTAGAGAAAGTGGTGCCAAAACTCGCCCTGAATGCCTCCCTTGTTCTCTTAGACTGGCAATGGCACCCACCTGAGAGGGTGGGGAGGAAAACCCTGCCTGGATCATTTCAGTTGCTCTTTTCTGAAGTCCAGTTTGTTTTCTACTGTTTTGTAAGTTTTGCGGCTCCCAGTTTTTTTCTCCTTCGGAAACGGGTCCAAGTGGCTCTTTTTGTCTTAAAGGTTGCAGACCCCAGGACTAGAGGACCACTGGTGTGCCTTCCAACTCTGAAATTATATGATTAAAAAAGAAATCAGAGTAAAAGTTTGGATGATGGTGCAACAGGGTCAGACTCTTGCATTATGAAGGATATCTGTGGTGGGCACATAGATGTTTTGGGATTTTTTAAAGTAGTGATTTCACGCAGCTTTCAGTTTAGCTTCCCT